CTGGGTGGAGATACTTAAGGGTCCACCATACCGTAGTAAGACCAGCTTAGCATGCTGCCACCACTACCTTCATCAAGAGAAGCAGCGGGAAAATGAGATGAGATTTACGTCTGTTCAGTCACCCAACAATGTTGTTAATTGAATGTGCACGTGTTTCCCCTCTTCAGAGGAATTCAAGGCTTGCCTCATGCAGTGAATTGCAGACTTACACCAAGATGAAGGTATTTTCCCGCCGTCTTTGACTACGACATTGTGACAAAAGCTTATGATGCACTTAAACCAGATAGTACTGGGCAAATCATAGCTGTAGTGCACTATTCAACTGGAGAAGATGACTAGGGGGAAATCATTTATGAAATTATTTGAATTTTTTCAGGGTACCCCAGATTGCTTTGCAGTCTACAGAACAGCTAAACAACTGAAGCCTGTAAAAATGGCTGCTGTTCATCAGGTCAAAAGCAGCTGTGCTGCACTTGGCTGTGATGGGCTGCTACATGTGGAAGCAATCTCACCACATCTGTGCTCTTTCGGGGATTATTGTTTCTTATTGCCTCACAACCCTTTCATGTGCCCAAAAATTTAACACTAAACGACAAATTACTTTGTAAATAAAAGCATAGAACTTTCAGCATTTGGATACACAGACTGACCCAAAGTCAATCTATACGGACAAAAGAAGGGGATCAGTCAATAACAAGTCTTTTCAAATGCGCGTTTATTTACAAATTTTGACAAGCAATAACTAAGTTAGATTTATCCAAAAGCACAAACATTTCCACATGAATCCAGCCCATTTAGTTATTTTTGTAAGAAGGAAAGTAAAGTGTTCATTTTCACTGAGAAATCTGGTGGCCTAACAGAAAAGGCATTTCATTGATGTATGAGTTATTTATAAAGGCCTTAAGCAAAAGGGTTTGCATATTTACAAAAAGGAGTACTGTAATAGCCAGGAACCAGATGTACTGTATAGAATTGCGATCCTGGGATATATATGCAAGCAAATTACATAATTATTTACATTCTTCAATACTGTTATTGTAAAATAAATTGCTGCAGTGATTAAACCACTGATATTTATCTTATAATTACCAAGTAATCTTTGAGAGCTGATTTTAACTATGTCAACCTCACAGAATAATGAACATGAAATATGAGGTCAAAAATTGTTCAGATGGCAAGATAAAACGGAATGCTAGAATGCTCACAAAACAATTTTAACAAGATCCAAATATTGTTGACTTTTTAAAGGTTTTTTTCTCCACAATAATCACTTTTTCCATGCACAAATCTCACCTTTGCAAATTTTGAGTTTCTTCTTATAACGCAACAGACTAATAAATGCTTTTATGTAAACTTTTGTGAAGGTAATTCTCTAACTAACAGGAATGAAAATTTATATAACTTAAAAAAAAAACATCTGTAAGTGACGGGACCACTCCCCCACCCCCCTGCCACCCCGCGGTAAACAACTGTTACTCTTATATTTACTTCAGATTCCCTTAAATCCGACAAACTATCTGGCTAAGCAAGAAAGTCTGCTTTGTACTGGGAATTATGGTCAAAGCCTGGGACTGGTATAACTGGCCCATTCTGGGCACCCATATGTAAAACGTTTTATGTAAATATGCTTTACAGTTGTCTTTTAATAATGGAGTATTGTTTACATAGATTATGTTAACCTTACACCTTATTTGAGTACATTTTCTCAATTGAATATTTAAATCTGGCAAATGTAACAAAGATAATTACTCTTACATCATGTGTTTACGCCATTTAATATGAGTGGTAAATAATTGCATTGTTGATAAGTCCACGGTTCCAACACTATGGCAGAAATGATTCATTTCTATGGCGTCAGCATTTTCATAGCCTAGACAGGTATGTTTATTCTACCAGTAATTGCCTTTCAAAGGTGATTGAACGCTCACACTGTATTACTGTATTCATGCATATATATATATATATATATATATATATACACACACACACACACACACACACAGCATGTGTAATATTTGCAATAAGTTATACAGCTACTATGGACCGTATGTGATGGTTTTCTGTGGGGGATTAATTTAAAGCCCAATAAATGTACTATCCAGTAAAAACTCATATAGCCAATAATTTATGACTGGGTTTTGGATACCAAATAAAGTGGGATACAGTGTATACAGGCACGGCTGCATTAAGTTACCATCATAAAATAAACCTGGATTAGCACAAATGCATGTTATCTGTTGCCGGTTCTTAGTTTCTTGATCATTTGTTGGATAATTAATCATGACTGATGAATGACATGAACTATAATGAACAGCATTGTAGGTTCAGGGGTTTCGTGGAGGCTACAATAACAATTATACTGCAGTACAGAAAGAAATCCCTCAGAATACTGTATGTGCAACATTCTAGCTGGAAAAGGACTGAAAAATGGCAATAAATAATAAATTGCTCAATAACATTCGATAGCGACTAAATACAAATGTAATCTTTCTCTAATTACAGTATTTAACTTGTATGCAATTCATATTCTGAGGTGTTTAGGGTTGGTAAAATTTCAATGTGTTATATTAAATTTCCTGTCCTGGTCATTCCATAGACAGGTGTCAGTGTTTCCATAAAATCTACATTATTCACGGTTAGTCAAAGTCTCAGTTTTTTTTTTCTTTTAATAGTTTTTCCTTAAGTTTTTGGAAAGCAAGAGTTAGATGCAATGGCAGGAGGTTTCCAGTAGATAATACCACAACCGTATAAATCACTGGTCTCTCTTTTGAAACAGTCTACAGCTACTGATTACAAATCCTGGCCTTCTGTTAATGCTGGTTTCTAACGCAACAAACCAGTTTATTAAATACAGATATACAGGCCTGCAAAAAATTAAGAGACCACTTCATATACTTTTTAAAGTCTGCGTGTTTAAATCCTGGTTTAATCCTGGTTCTGCTGGCAGAGGCTACACTGCAAGGCTGGCCGCTTCCAGGCTCAAGGTTTCTAAGACAGCAGAACAATGTGAAACAGGAGTCACTGGGAATGACCAAAAGCCAGCCAGGTAGAGGGGGCAGAAGTGACTTTTTAATAGCAGAGATGACCGCCAACTTATCTGACAGTGTCTCATGATTTGGAGGGTGACCTCAAGTGACCTCCAAAAAGAACAGGGAAACAGTGTGAAGCGCACTGCTAGGAAAGTTCATAACAGGCTCCTAGAAGCAGAACTGAAGACCCATAAAGCAAGGAAGAAGCCCTTCATCAGTGAGAAGCAGAGAAGAGCCAGGCTGGAGTTTCCAAAAAACTAAATAAATAATAATAATAATGAAAAAAAAAATAAATATATTAGTCACAGACACACACCCATAAATAGAGAAATGAGTGAAACAATAAAATGTCCTATGGTCTCTTAATTTTTTCCAGAGCTGTATATGAGTAAATAAAAACAATAAACCAAAATAAATTGTTTAATACTGAGTTTTTTTAATGATTATCTTGCATATGGATTTCAAATAACCCATTAATATTAATTCTATGTGCGTGTGATTCATGTTCTGGGCCTCCACAGCAATACTGCTTCAACCATATTTGCTATTATGTCATTTAAAGAGGGACTAAAATGGTAAATATTCAATTATTTATTTTACTCTTACTTAGTTAACAGACTTTAGTACTTTGTTAACATAACAGGCAACCATTTGATGAGCATGTCACAAGCTTGAATGTGACAAACTAAAGCTTTAACGTCATACTCGGACAGCCATATTTTAAATACTTCTATACCAGGGGTCACCAACATGGTGCCCACGGGCACCAGGATGCCCCCGAGGTCGGCAGGAGTCGCCTGCGGACCTGTTCTAAAAATACCACAACTCACCAGTGAGCAGCATCTAACATTTTATCTAACATCACAATTTTATCCTGTTGCTATTCTTCTTTAATCACATTGGCATTTATATAGATTTGAAAATGACAATATCTGTAATAAAGCATTTAAAACATGTTTATTATACATGAAGTTTAGATAATTTTAGGAGGGCGTTTCAAACTGGTAGCCCTTCGTATGACTCAGTACCCGTGAAGTAGCTCTCAGTTTCAAAATGGTTGGTGACCCCTGTTCTATAGACTAACATATCTCACTGCCGTGGATGGTGGCTTTGGATGTGAAAGCTTGGGTTTGAAACTAAGAGCTCAGCAAAAATAATCTCTGTTATTCAGTTTCTGCTTCTATTCTAAGATTATAAAAATGTATTATATGAGAAACACAGGAACATTCATATCAGAAATACACATTCTTTATTTAAACAACAGTATATCTTGCATAGTATCAATCCATCCATTCATTCATCCCTCCATCCATCCAAGACTGACCAAGGTGATTTGTGACTCTAATTGCCCAAACCGTGCGGTTGTGTCCAGGGTCTGTCCCAGCCTTGTGGCTGATGCTGACTGGAAAACAGTCTAATGCTGCATGCTGTCTGGTTCTATTGGAAGATTTCCAGTTCAAACCTGTGTGGTGAGTAATTTTACCAATGGGAATTTAAGCATGGCCCCCAACCCCTAATTGCTCCAGGCTAACTGGACACTGGCTGGCATTCTGACCCCATAACTTGCAGTTTGCGTGTCTCATGAAGAGCATGATGGGAAATGTGGCTAACCAATGTCAGTCACATTTTCCTCTCACCATCTGCTGTTTGGGAACTACATTCATGCTTTTCTTTTGACCCCTTGGTTTTAATGTTACTACTGTTATTTGTGTGCGTTGCTCCTCTATGCCTTTTAAATTGCCCCTCGGGGACAAATAAAGTTTTTTGAAATTGAAATTGAAATTGAAATTAAACTAAAGAAGCCTCATAAGTATTCAGTCCAAACCCCTGCACAGTTCAAACATTCAAATACAGTGCAATTTAGTGCCATACAATGTTCCTGTGACACAATATGTTTCTATGTACACATTAAAAATAAGTCTCAAAAGAATATCTCCCCTTATTTACCAACCCCCCGCCCCCACCCCCCCACCCACATGCACTGCTGCTGCTTGGCTTGTGGTGACTATGTGTGATGGTCAGAACCTGAAAGCAACAATCTTGTTTTATTCTCAGTATCTGGCTCCAGGCAGGACTGTATTTCCAGGAAGTGCAAGTGTGGGGAGTGTCCCTTACAAAGAGAGAAAGAAAAAAAACTTCACAGCGCTAGTGAGTCATAACTCAAAACAGAATCACGCAGATAAGCAGAAAATAACTGTTTGTCATTTTTCTGTTGCACTAAATATCATATTTGCACAATACTTTGAGTACTACACATTCTGGGCCCAGAAAACCGCCTTTGTTGTCTTGATAGGAGACGACATTTTGCAGCTTTTGAGATAATTCTGTGGCCTCCTGGGGAATTTCTTCGCAGACTCCTAATCAGAATAATCTTCAACTTTAAGAATCTCCTCTAAATATCTGAATTGCATCTCCTGAGTAGCAAGACACAGAATCAGGGATCAGAAACTCAAACGTGACACTGATTTGGCTGATGTGATGACAAATACAGCCAGATGATTCATGGTAAGTATGTTAAGTCAAACCGGTTTAATTTAAACATAAAACACTGCACTGCTTTAAATGTCCTGAATGAATATTAATGACATTTTAATCACAGTACATAGTTTACCTGAATGACATCATCTTTCTCTAACAGCTCTTGAATTTTCACAGATGGACTTGGAACAGGAGGAAACAACTTGTTGAACAATCTACAAAAAAAAAAACATCAATCAGTAGACATTTATCAGTTCTTACACACATTGATGTTCAATTAATCAATTAATATCTCTATAATTAATTTATTAATATTCCGAGGATACAAACAGACTGCTTACTCCCAACAAAAAGCTTTTTAATTACCAGAGCCACATTGAAGTGGTATTAAAGACTAACAAAAAAACATGACAAATTAAAATGCTGTGGTCAAACACCAAGATGCGGAAGCTGCCAAAATGTAAACAATGGAAGTAGCGGGTGGTTTGATGTGTTAGGCTGCTATGTCAGTCAGCTGAAGGCTGCTGGTTCAAATCCCAGGGTCAGCAGTATGTTTTTACTGTTGGGCCCCTGAGCGGGGCCCTTAACTCCCAACTGCTTCAGGGGCCGGGCAATCCTACATCCTCAAAAATATACATGTCGCTTCAGATAAAAGTGTTTGCTAAATAATTGCAAACTAAATAATGACAAAATATAACTTGCTGTAGTGCAATATGCTGTGTTCCGCTCCGACAGAGGTAAACTCTAGCCAGCATCAGTAAAATATATATTTTTGGCCATTTTGGTTAATGACGCATGAGAATATTTCTATCAGTATACACCAGTGTCGAAAAAAATAAGAACTATGTGTGAGGAAGGAAACGTGAGATGGCGGCAGATCAAACCTGGGCTGCCGGAAGAGCAGAAGCACTGCAAGCAGGAACATGGGGATGCCCAGAGAAATGCCACAAATCATTAGCACATTCAGTGCATCCGGCTTTTTAAGTGGATTCACAACTAGCCAATGAAAAAAAAAGCGAGTTATCAGAGGAGATCTGTCGTGTATGTAAGGTGCATGCAGGCTATCCCCAGGTTATGAGTGACACCCGTTACCAAAGTCTGTCCTTAACTCAAATTTATAGGTAAGTCGGAACAGGAATGTAGAGTTCTCATTTAGCGTCAGTTAGTCAAATGCTTGTGTTAGTATGTAGTATATATTACACTTTTCTGAGCATATACAACACTCAAGAAGCACTTCCAAATACACTAAAACATCTTAAACATAACATAGATAACAATGACAACAACAATGGGCAGTGGTGGCTTAATGGTTAGGGGAGCACACTTGTAATTAAAAGGTTCGAATCCCCGACCAGCAAAACACCACTGAGGTACCTTAAGCAAGGTACTGCCTCCTGCTATGTCACAACATCACACATGGGTTAACTGCAAAGGACACATTCTGTTGTTGTGTGCTGTGCTGTGGTGTGTTAACAATAATCACTGATCACTAAATTCTAATTCATTAATAATAAGAGTGACTACATGCTACTATACTATGCCTATAGGTGACAAATTGCTGAAGCCGTGCAGCATTTACATGAGCATCACAAAGTAGGGTGTGCATTCATTATTACGAACCATTGTATATAACTCAATTTCTTAATATCATGGGCTTCATAGCTGTTCATAAGTACAAGTTGTCTATAAGTTGGACATTCTTAGTCTGGGCACTTCCTGTACCTCAGTGAGTCTATACTGCAACATCCAACAAGCGGCCATCTATACAAACACGAGTGTTACATTTCAGATCAAACATACATGCACTCTTTGCATATTTCTAAATTAAAAGATCAGGACTTGCCCACAGGTTCACTCCAGTCGCTCCAAATGTCATTTCTCCTGCAGCTGTCAGTCTTGGTCACTCTTATCTGTATCTTATAACTCTGAGTCTGATCTATGTTCGGTATGGTGTGGTTCATCTGGCGCAAAACGTCCTTTAATTAACAACAGGAACACCAAATGTTTATACTGCAAACCATAATACCTTAAAATGTCTTAACAGATTCAAAGTCTAAACAAAACAAAAAAAAGATTTAAAAAAAATCTGACTAAAACATGGGCTAATGAGTTAGGTGACTCTGCCTTCACAACCCTGCACTGGAGAAGCTTTTAGAAAATGGACAGATAAAATAGGCTAATCTGTCATTGTAAATGATATCATTCGTATGCTGTATTTGTATACCTACACATGTACCATCCACATGTACTATCTCTTCATTAGGGATCACTGTCTTTTACCAGCAGTTAGAACCTTTTTCACTGTCATGGTACATCAGTGCTATTCAAATCATGGTTTTCAAGGTCTGAGCACTGCTGATTTTCCAGCTTTCCTTCACCTGTGAGCCAGGTGTGAAGCCTCTGACCAATCAGTAATTATTAAACTAACTACCTGGGAGAACTGAAAACAAGGCCTGGATTTGGAATCGAGGGCCAGTTTTGAAGAACCCTGTACTACAGCCATACATCAAAAGCAAATTTCCCCCAAAGACAATCATAAATATTGACTAATACATTTCATTTCTAAATATTTCTTGATGATCATCATCATTATTTACAATTTTACCCGTTTATAGGACTGGATATTTTCCTTTCCAGTGTAATTACCATTCCACTAACAGTAAGGCACAAGCTGAGAACTGAGCTGTGAGGTTGCGGGATCACTGCTATGACACCAGATGCAAAAGCTGCCAACAGACAAGGAAAAACCTGGAGAAAACAAACAGCCTTTTACTGACATTACGGTCATTACCTCAATGCGACTTTTTATCTGTAACTGGAAGTTAAAACAAATAAGTTTTTTGACATCTGTTTTAAGATCCCATTCAATGTACAGGTTCCCTGAGATGAATGAAGCATTTACATTATGTGGCGGATTCAGCTTTTCTGGGGAAAAAAAAGACAAATTACAGTAATTTCCTATTTATCTTTAAACAGAGAACACTGTTGATTTGTTCTTTGTAATCTTACCAATTTGCACTTTCTCAAAGTCTTGACAGTGGACGTATCGGAAGTTAGCGACAGTAACATTGATCTTTATAGAGAAGTCTGGCATGTGATCAATCTTTCCATTACATTTAACAACTCTGGCTTCATTATTCATGAAGCTGTCACAGGAGAGGAGTGAATCACCTTGACTGAGGAGAAAAAAAATCAAATCAGGTGACTGGGGTGTGTCAGAAACTTTATGTAAATGTGGCTTCAGAAAGGAAGCTGACTTACTGGACGGTGAGCGCGTACTGGGCATCTTTGGAGACATTCTCCACAGCCAAAGAGCAGTTTAAATGGTGAGTGTTATACACAATGCAGGACACATTCTTCACAAGAAATCTATGCAGACCTAAAACACAGCATGGATATTTGTAGCATGTGAGATTGCTGCACATTGAGTAAATAAGCTGAACAGAGTCACTGCTGTACAATGAGCACCTTAAATATGGATGCTGGCATTTGCAGTCATATTTATTCACAACCAATTCGGACACTGTTATTGAATATAGTTACGGGAAAATTATCTGCAATTATCTGAAGCAACTCTCAGCTGTTCAGTAGATCTTGATCTGAATTTTATCTCATGGAAGTAAAAAGGTTCATCAACAACAATAACAACAACAAACCTATACCTAAAATACCTAAAAAGTACTGCTACTCCATAAGTACTCTATTCTAGCTTTTCAAATAAAAGGAACGCATCTCTTACCTCGTGGAAGTGTTATGTTACTATATATTTTGTCCATACTTATGTTTTCATTTTCAGATATTTTTGTTTCATGAAATTGAACGAAATTCCCTGTTCCATTGTGGTCTGTATATAATGTCACACGAGGCTGAAAAAAATGCTTCCACTGTATTATTTTATTTTTTTTACCTGTTATTTATTAATAAGCCAAATTCAGTGTATTTCAGCCTAAAATACCGCATTTCAGGAAGAGTCATTTTCTTGGGATTCTCACTCACTTAAGCTTACAGGGAATGGTGCAGGAAACAATTCACTAAGTGAATGAGAGGGCTGAGAGGAGAATGAATGGCCAAACTCGATAAAGATAACAGCTAAATGAGAAATGCAAAAATAACACAAATAACACAAGTACATCAGCGCTGTGCAGAATGGTTTCTCAGTGCACAGTACATCTACACTTGAAGTGGTTCTGGGGGTAAAAGTGAATCCCAAGGGCATTAGGGTTGGTAGAGACCAAATCAGCCAGCAAACCCTCCATCCCCCTAAACACACAGGGCAGGATCATGGTAGGGTCATGTTTCACCACCATACCCAGATCTATGCCCTTGGTGGGTCCTAAACCCTACAATAGGTTTATGTGATAAAGTGGCCACTCTATGTATTTAAAAGGAAATTTTGGAATGCAACACATTAAGAAAAGCAAAATTTGCTTACAAAATTTATTAATGACAACATAATTATAAAAATTGACTAAACATCAACAGATTTATATACTAATGGGTCTTCTGATTTCTTAAGAAAACTAAAAAAATGTGTTAAAATATGTTAATAATAAATAAAGCTTAAAAAATGGTCAATTGTCAGTAGAAAATCTTAAATACTGCTGATCGTCATATTCACATTCAAATTCCTTAATAAGAATGAAACAAAATGTAGATAGTTTTAAAAATGGTCAAACATCAGAAATGCTTACATTATATTTATCTTCATAATAATCTTCATAATTTCCCTTAAGAACAAAAGAAAATACATTAATAACAAACATAGTTATAAAAATTGTTATACATCAGAAATTGTCACGCCCAGCTCCGTACGATCCTCGTGTGTGCCACGCCCCCTCGTTACCTCGTGTCAATTCCTGATTGTGATCACCTGTGTCTTGTTATTTCTGGCTAGTTTGGTGTATATTAGTCCGCGTCTCCCACTGTCTCCCAGATCGGTCATTGTGTAGTGTCATGTTGTCATGTCCGATGTCTGCCCGGATCCCTCAATAAACCCCGGTTTCCTGTCTGACTGGCTCATCTCCCCTGCTTCCCCGGCTCGCCTGCTTTTTGAACGTGACAGAATGACCGATCTCCCCAAAGGCATGACGCAGCAGACCGAGCACCACCGGCTCGGTCTGCTACAAGAGATCGTGTATTGGCGGTCCCAGCCTGAGGTCCAGGAGGACCCCATAGCCATGGCTCTGGCCAACCGGGGCGCGGACCTCCTCGCGGAGGAGCGCCCACCCAAACAGGACTATCCCTTTCAAAGGGCTAGAAAATGCCTCAGACGGCTGAGACTACGCATTACGGAGCGATGGGAAGAGCACATCGCCTTGACCCTGGGCGACGTGTTCGAGGTGGCTCCGCCTTCCGTAGCAAGCGGCAAGAAGAAGAAGCGGAGAAAAAATCGAGAGCAACAGGAAGAAGCCCCAACGCTCTCCCTGGGAGCCTGCTCTTTGTTCCCCGCCTGGGACGACACCGCTGCTGCCCTCCCGATCAGCTTCCACCAGGAGAAGGCCCCTCCCTTAGAGGCTTACCACTACCTGCCAGCGCGCCTGGTGGGTAAGGGGATCAGCGCCGTAAGGGACGCTATTCCCCGGATCCCTAAAGCCCTTAAAGGGGCAGTTCCGGACCTGTGTGCTCCGTACCTGCCTGCTCCGGTCCTGCCGGCGGTACCGCCCGCTGCTGCTGCCGCTGCTCTGCCCGCGGCACCGTTCGAGGTGCCTGCTGCGGCGCCCCCTGCTGGCCACGTGTCGGCGGCACCCGCTGCGGTGCCCCCTGCTGGCCATGTGTCGGCGGCGCCTGCTGAGGCACCCCCTGCTGGCCGCACGCCCGAGGTGCACGCCGAGGCGCCCCCTTCTGGCCGCACGTCTGAGGTGCCCACGGCCCTGCCTGACCCGCCTGTTCAGCCCGCGGCCCTGCCTGACCCGCCTGTTCAGCCCGCGGCCTTGCCTGACCAGCCCGGCTCGCCCGTCCTATCCATCCAGCCCAGCTCGCCCGTGGCTCTGGCTGCACCGCCTGTGGCCACGCCTGCTGCCGCACTGGAGGCCCTGACTCCAGTCCCCCAAGCCCTGGTCCCAGTTCCCGGGGAGATCCCAGACAGCCTGACCACCGCTCCTTCCTCCTTGGAGGAGGAGGAGCTCGAGTGGGACCCCTTGGGGACCTCCTTTATGACTCCCTCGCCCTTGCCCCGGCAAGGCCGACACCCCCCAGGACCCCGCCTTTTTGTGTCCCGTAAGGGGAGGGGACACAGGCGTCGGGCCCAGGTCCCGCCCGCCCTGCCCCCTGGCTAGCCCGTGCGTTCCCTGGCCGTCGCTCGGTGGCTGCCTGCGGGTCCTCCGGCTCTGGGTCGGCAGTCTCCTCCGGGTCCCCCCTTGGTGCCTCGGTGCCGGTCCTTGGTCCCGCCTCCAGCTCCGTGTCGGCCGCCTCCGGGCCCCCCTGCTGCAGCGGGGCATCGGACGGCGCCTTCCCCGGCTGCCCCTTTGCCTGCCGTGGCTTCCCCCTCCTGCCTGCCTGCGGCGGTGGTCCCTCCTGCTCCCTCCGTGTCCCCTGCGTCTCTCCCTCGACCCGTTCCCTTGGCCCCTGTGTGGTCCCCTCCTGCTCCCTCCTCCCTCTCGCCTGCAGCCCCTCCGGCCGCTGCCCGTTGCCCGTCTGGGTTCCCTCGGGCTCCCCTTTCTCCCTCGTCCGTGCCTGTCTGGTCTCCCCTGTCTGCTCCTCGTCCCTTCGTCCCTCCTGTTTTGGCTCCTCCTCCTCCTGTGGGTTCTTTGTTCACTCCTGGCCCTTTTGTTCCTCCGTTTTCTGTGCCCTCTGTCTTGCCCTTTCTGGTGTGTCTGTCCGCGTTCCCTGTCCTTTGTCAGGTCCTGTCGTGGCTTTTGCCTTTGTGCCTGTTTTGTGTCTCCGTCCTGTTTCCTGTGCCCCAGTGATGGATTTGGTTTTGTTTTTCAGGTCCTGTTCCCCAGTCTCGTCTCGTCCATCGCCTCCCCTGGGGCGTGCCCGGTGTGCGCGCCTTTGGGGGGGGGTTCTGTCACGCCCAGCTCCGTACGATCCTCGTGTGTGCCACGCCCCCTCGTTACCTCCTGTCAATTCCTGATTATGATCACCTGTGTCCTGTTATTTCTGGCTAGTTTGGTGTATATTAGTCCGCGTCTCCCACTGTCACCCAGATCGGTCATTGTGTAGTGTCATGTTGTCATGTCCGATGTCTGCCCGGATCCCTCAATAAACCCCGGTTTCCCGTCTGACTGGCTCATCTCACCTCGTTCCCAGAAATGCTTACGTAATATTCATCTTCATAATAATCTCCATATACATCTTCATCATTTTCAGGTTCCTTAAGAAGAAAAGAAAATTGTAAAATACATTAATAACAAATGTAGTTATAAAAATTGTTACGCATCAGAAATGCTTACATGATTTTCATCTTCATCATTTTCAGGTTCCTTAAGAAGAAAAGAAAATTGTAAAATAAATTAATAACAAATATAGTTGTAAAAATGGTTAACCATGAGTATAAACACTTACAGTAACATCAGTTATAGAGTGCTGATCATATCCTTCGTCTACAATTTTCTCACCACTCAAAGAGGGAGACGACAATTTATTCCCGTGTGGTTCAGAAGTACATATGCTTCTGTCTGGTGAATGTATCACTATAAATAGAAAATACAGCACTTTTGTCAAAAAAAACAAAAAAACATGTACAGTTAAGGCATGAATTATGCAGCTTATGAAGCGATGGCGGTTGATGAAGTATGGCAGTTTGACACCGCAATAAAGTTAGCCTCATATTCGACATTCAGGTTTCCGCCTTTAATATCTTTTAACAAAAGCAAGGTATGCAGTTAGAAATGACAAAATTTTGATGTCCAGTAGCCTACATAGACAACAATGCACACTGATTATTTTTGTGGTTCAAACCATTTCACAATTTTGGGCAAAATCTTGTTAATAGCTACGAAAAAAGGTAATTTCAGCTGAAACAAGACATTTGTTTATCGTTTTCGGTTCATGGCAACTGTTGCACACTCCTTGGTTTCCCAGATTTCTTTACTGGCGAATTTTAATGCATTTTTGAATGTTCATATGTATCATATAATGTGCAATGGGATAATACATGAATGGGTTAATAACTTTAAAACCAAACAACACAGGCAGATCTAATAAAGTGTGCTTTGATCAGTGGACTCTATGGGACAACCTGAAAACCCAAGGGGTGTGCATTATCTTTGTCTGTAATAGTTAATTATTACATTGTATCCATATAATATGCAATGGGGCATTACATATATTGGTTACTAGGTTATATAGCTCTATTAGGGAAGTGTATGGCACAATGGGCTGTGCCTGTAATCAGAAGGTCGACAGTTTAAGCCCAGCCACAGCAGGACTGCGAGTTCTTGAGAAAGGCGCTTAACCCCCAGCTCCTTGTGCGCAATAAAGTATCTATTATTATTAGGGGTGGGCGATATGACCTCAAATTATTATCACGGTATTTTTCACTTTTTGGACGGTGACGGTATTATATCGCAGTTACTTTTTTGCAAGTTTTGGGAAGAGTAGCATGTCCCTTTATATAAATTTTAAAAATATTTTAGAATATATTAAGTACACTTTAAGATGGGTATGGGCGGTTTTATTTCGAAAAGACATAAAATGTGTCACAGGTAATGTTTTCTCATATTTGTTTCAAAATTGTCGAAGCAACAAGCTGCTTCGGCCGAAAACAGTGCATTTTGCAGTTCATTTCAAATAAAACGCAAGGTTGCCAACTTCGGTCAGCTGCAGCCGGAGTGCGATTTTCAATTCGAGACAAGTCTGCGCACACGTGCAAACACATTTACATGTATATAGAATAGAATAGAATAGAATCTTTATTGTCATTGTAGCAATGAGACATTGTACAACGAAATTAAAGTGCAATTCTCCAGTGCAAAATAAAAACACAGTCACTCTGAAAGAGCCTGAACGCTACTTTCTTTCGTACCTACAAACAAACTACATATTGCACTTGTTTCCTTAGCCAGTTTTGGCATGAAACATAAGGCTGTAATGTAAACAAAATAACACTGTAGTAATGTAAACATGAACGGTGCCCTGGCTCAAATTGACCACTTAGCAGTGTTCAGCTTGGTGATGACTGAGGGGTAAAAACTGTTTCTCAGTCTGTTTGTTTTGATTTTTATGGATCTGAAACGAAAAGGCGTTCAAACAGTACATGTCCTGGGTGTGATGGGTCCTGAAGAATTTTCTTTGCGTTCCTGTATATAACCATTTATTACCTCCTAAATAGTCTGTAGGGTTTGTAAACTACCCCAATGCTTTTGATGTCGCCAATTTTAGGTTTGTGATGGAATAATATATATTTGCCGTAAGATTTCAAGCGTGGCTTTGAAAGCCTGAGTGTCACGCCAGATGCGTGAGAATTGGCAACCCTGAAAATAGAGGTGGGCGATAGATCGATTTTATCGATTAATTCTAATTTACAGTTCAGGACGATGTGTTTTTATGAAAATCGATTTTGTTACTTATTTTACACTAGAGCGCCAAAAGCAGAACTAATGTGACGCACCGTTCTTCACGGGTACATTACCGCAGGGCATCCAAACACTGTAGCGGATTCACAAACAGAAGTACAGCTCCCAGCGAAACGAAAATATCCGCAGCATCAGCACAACATCCAAAGTTAAGCAAGCAACTATCCCTGACACGTTTTCGAACTGTGTGCCATATGATAAGAATGGGGCACGGTGGAAGGCGATAACAAACGCTGTCGCGATGTATATTGCAAAAGACATGGTGCCCATACATACTGTGTAAAAGCCGGGATTCATTAACATGCTCAAAGTTTTTACAAGTTTCTAAAAGTGTTTACAATGGCGTGGTCTGCCATCTCACTTACAAGCATATTTTTTGGTTTGTCAGATTGCACTTTAACCCTAAAGTAAAAAAACCATCAAAAAACCTAAATAAAGTTAAAACTTGTTTTGAACCATTTATTTGTCATCTGTAGTTTGATTTTCAGTAGGAGAGGGGAAAATCGATAAAAATCGAAAATCGGATTTATTGTGAAAAAAATTGTAGATTTTATTTTTAGGCCATATCGCCCAGCTCTACCTGAAAACGTATGTTTTTTGTTTCACATGAATTCATTTATATAAAAATAACATTACTTTATACAGCTGTTAAAAAAGCAATATTTCACGAACATGAAATCACCAGCTATCTACGTCCATTTATCCAGCATTTTATAAAATACTGCGTTTGAAAACTTTTCAGATGTAAGATTTCAGGACAGAGCAGCCGCTCTCTTAGGAACTAGGGCTGGACGATTTATCGAAAATCGAAATCGCGATTTGAAACAACGCGATTAGCAAGTCGCAAAAATTGCGATTTAGGATATACATCATACAACACGTCGGACCCAGGGTTTAAAACTGCTGTGAGAATAGTTTTACAAATTCATGCCCTGCTCATTGTGTGACAGTCATTCTCACCAATCACAAGCGCCATGCTTCTCGCGTGCCAGTCATGCTCACCAATCAGAAGTGGCCCAAGAAGGCGTATAGGCCCACAAACAGCGAAAACGTGAAACCGAAGGAAAATGCTACATTCGCGGTGCGGAAAAATACTGATTCCGCTACTGAGCTATAAGTGAACTACCTTCCTTTTTCATGGTCCGAGATTGTTTCAGAAATGTCCTATCATCCATAGAACCGGCGAGCTCCTTTTAAACACCAGCTGCAATATTCTTCAGCGTATCATACCTTTGGTTTTTGTTAATAGGCAATAGCATTAGTATACCGCTAACCCATCAAAACAACAATGAGACAGTCAGTATAATTCTCACAGCAGCGGAGTCGGTGACCTCAAAAAAAGCCGTAAATCCACAATACAGTCGTGTTTATGTCATATGTTTTTGTGCTTATTAAATTTAAGTATTTCCAACACAACAGTAATAAAATAAAAGTCTTGCTTTAACATAAATACTAAAAGAATAGATCGCTTTCATCGCTATATACAGTTGGGAATGGGCACGCGGTCTTATTTAGAAAACATACAAAAAGAGACGCATATAATGTTTAATCATTCGTTTTGTATTTGTCCGAGTATCAAAGCAAAGGAATGATAAGCTGCATCAGTCGAATACTGCATTTTACTTCTCATTTAAAATAAAATACAGGGTTGGCAACTTTGGTCAGCTGCATGGAGAGATTTTCTGTTCTCTTTTCTGCACACACATTTACATGTATGTAAGTTTTATTACCTAGTAAATATAGTCTGTAGGGTTTGCAAACTGCCGTAACGTTTTTGATGCAGCTAATTTTAAGTTCAGAATGGAATATAGATTTGCCGTAAGATTTCTTGTGTGAGAGTCTGAAAGAGTTTGCAACCATGAACACGCACATTTTTTGTTTCAGCTGAATTGATTTGTATAGAAAATAACCGTATACAGTTGTCAAAAAGCGGAAACTTCGACCAACATGAAATCACCAATAAACGACTTCTATTTATTCAACATTTTATAAAATGCATACTACGTTTAAAAATTTCCAACTTAACGGTTTCAGGACAGAACAGCCGCTCTGGCATGAACATTACGGGTTTTTGAGTGTTATTAGTGTTAATAACAACAGCTAACAACATAATATGGATACAATATAAAGTTTGCCTCCAACACCGAGGACATTCTAAGGAGATGTCAGCAGCGGCAATATCTCTTAAGGAAGCTCAACAGCTTTGGGGTCAACAAGGTCATGGTCAGAACCTTCTACTACTAGTTCATTGAGAGTGTCCTCTGTTTCTCCAGCGCCTGCTGGTATCACTCCATCAACCTGCAGCACAGGACCCGCCTGCACAACATAGGGAAAGTCTGCTCCAAGATCATCGGACTCCTGGTCAGGGCACTTTCATCCCTGAGTGAGCAGCAAACTCTGAGAACAGCGTGTAGGATTCTGCAGGACCCCTCCCATGGTCTGTTCCCAGAGTTTGAGTGGCTCCCCTCAGGACGACGGCTCCGCTGTCCCGGCTACAGGACACAGAGCAGGAAAGCGACCTTTGTTCCCAGGGCCGTTCAACTCCTCAATTCACAGACTTCCCCCCCCGCGCCTCTCTGCACTGGAACCTGTCACTCATTCTGCACTTGACCCCCCCCCCCCACTAACAATCCCTCCCTTTTACATATTTACTCAGTTCCCATCTACCTGATTGACTGCAATTTTGCACAGAACCTTCAAAACACTGTAATCACTGTTGCACTGCTCTTTGTGCCTTAATTGCCCCTCGGGGACAAATAAAGTTTTTTTAATTGAATTGAATAAGTCATAACAATTTCAGATAGAAATAAACCAAAAACCCATGGGGTGTGCATGGTCCCCCAGTATCCACTGATCAACACACACTTTATAGGACATGTCTGCCTCATTTGGTTTTAGAACCAGTAAGCATTAACCCATTTTTTTTGTTCCCCATGCCATATTATATGGATTCAATATGATAGTTAATAACTGTTACAGACATAGATAAATGAAAAAATCTAAGTGGTGGGCACTGTCCCTCAGAATCCTTTATTTAGATGTGCCAATCTTGTTTACTTTTAAAGTTATTACCCATTCATATATTGCCCCATTGAATATTATATCGATACAATGTAATAATGAATAACTATTAAAGGCAACCTGAAAATCCAAGAGTTGAGTATTGTCCTCCAGGGTCCACTGGTCAAATAACGTCTCATTTGGTTATAGAGCTATTAACCCATTCATATATTGCCGCACTGCGCATTCAATTGATACAATATAATCATTAATAATTATTACAGACAAAGATAATCTGAAAACCCAGGGTGTGCAATGTCCCCCAGAGTCCACTGATCAATGCACACTTCACTAGATGTGCCTATTATTGTTTAGTTTTAAAGTTAATAACTCATTCATGTATTGTACGTCCCATTGCGCATTGCATGATACATGCGAACATTCAATTCAAAGATTAATTACAATTAGAAATCTAGAAAACCAAGGGGTGTGCAACAGATGCCATGAACCCAAAATTCTGTACTGGACCTCAAAATTCTATCAATAAGAACTGCGTATAGCCTGCTTCTGTTTAAAAGACATTAAAGCCCGAAAACTGAATGTCGAATATGTGGCTAACTTTGCCTGGGTTGAATGGCGACATTAGAAAATACATACCAGTATTCTGGTCCGCATTAACATAGTTGTGCCAATCCACACAGAAAAAGAGCAAGTATATAACAGGGACTGGCATGTCTGCGAGAGAAATAAAGATTTTCCACAAGTAGGCTAAGATACAGGCAAAACAAATAATGTAATGCTACACAGAAATCTAAACGATGAATACTTCGGAAAGTCAAATCCCAGTTTTCATTACATTAATACAATAAAATGTTCAGTACTGTAATCATAAAACTGTAATGCGATTTTATACAAACACATTGAAATATATCCTAGGTAGCTATGTACTACGTGCATTGAGAAATATTCGAAACTTACCGATATGAGTACAGTCGTTACATGTAACAATGGCGTGTTGACAGATAATAAAGTGAACTGCAATTTTTCATGAAGAATACGGGACAGCCACTATTTGTTCCGATGGAAATAGATCATACTGAGCATATATACTGACTGCAGTTCTACAGCGCTGCGATGTTTTTGCTCGGAGTGACTTCAGATAACCCTGCATCATATACAGTAACAACGACAGGAAACGTGACGTTTTTCAGATATTACAGGCAAACATCGACAGCCACCTTGGCACAACATTCACATAGGATTTAAGCGGCACAGCGGGCACTGCAAGAGGGCAGGCATCTGTTTCAGGGGCTCAGGAGAAACTACTGACATGCTTGATGAGGCATTTGGCGTGATTTGGGATAATGGTTTAAAACACTAAACATTTTGATTGACACCGGCCAACATACAAACAGTGTTACTTATTGTTGTCATCTGGTAGGGAGTTGCCAGTCAGGCTTAAAAAACTCGAGGTATAGTGATCGGACCTAACGACGTCTAGCCTGAGATATGAGGAAAATGCTGTTGACAGGTGCATGCAATGTAGACTTGATATGGATTGCACAGAACTTACGTCTAACTTCTATTTGAAAGATAGTGACAGATCTTTGTTTATGGATTGATTTTCTTTTTTTGACTGACCAAAACTGCCTCCGGCACAACGTAGGCAGCTTAGCTCTCAATTCATTTAGGACCCAAAACCCGCAAATGCGGAAACTATGTTTTTGAAAGTGACATCAGTGTTTGAGTTATTTATCCCTCGTAAAATCGGTAGGTCAAAAAATAGTGAATAAATAAATAAATCGGTAGGTCATTGTGGACGTGGAAGATTTTGAAGTTATGTGTGGACTAACAGGATTCCGTGCACTTCACTATAAACCGAGATACTGGCAGACTGTGTATGGACTGTAACCTGCAGCAAACATATACTGTGCCTGCTTCGTGATGGTCGACGGTTTGATGGGTTAAAATATTTACACATCCATCCATATCTGGGGATGCAACTTACTTGCATGTAGTCTTGTTTTTTCTTTTCCCCTCAAAAGTGTGTGTGTGTCCTAAAACAGACCGTTTAAAACTCATATATGGGTTCCGTGAATTTCTACAGATATTCTACTTTATTTTTTTCTTCCCACTAAGCAAATTTTATTTGCACTAATTAAGACTCTGACGATGCTACTACACATTCCTCGGGGTAATTTTCAGTGTCATTAGTCTGTCAAACTACTCGTCTGTGGATCGGTTCTCAGAGGTTATTATTAGTGTACATAAAAGATTTCCCTTTGTTTTCTGAAAATGCATTCCAAGCTGCCGGCGTAATTGTGAAGCTGCAGTGGATAGAGTGCACACGCGTGATTCACTCTTCAGAAGCGCTGTGGGGGAGGCGCTGCTTTTGGGGGGAGAAGAGGAAGTTACGCGATGACGAAGGTGTGAGAAGAAGTGAACTCTCGACCATTATTTGTGTTTATAGCGTTCAAACAGAAGAAAAACATCTGCGGTAAACTGTGAACTGGGGGATGGGGTCTTTACTTAATTAAGGGATCAGCGTATTGGCTGCAATGCAGGTTTTGTGCTCTAAACTGCCCCCTGCCACGGATGGCCTCCCCTGACGTCATCGCTACAGTGAATACAACAACAACAACAACAAATTTATTTTTGTATAGCGCATTATCACATTACATTGTCCCAAAGCGCTTTACAGCATCCCCACCCAAAGCCCCCAGTGAGTAAGCCATAGGCGACAGTGGCAACGAAAAACTCCCCAGAAGGAAGAAACCTTGGGAGGGACCAGACTCAAAGGGGGAGCCCATCCTCCAGGGGCCGGCAGGG